TGTAGAACTCCGAATGAAATCAATGGTTAACCTAACATCCTCGAAAGTTTCCTCTTTTTAGAAAGTAGATCTTAATGTGCTGGTTTTTCTATCCTTGCATATCAGTGATGTATGTATATACTGGTAATTGATCTCAGAGAGTCTGAGGAACTTCGATTTTCAACAAAAAATTGGGATGGGTTACTGACCGAAATTGGAGATTCGTGCAAAGTTGTGGCCTTTGATTAATTAAAAGGTGATTGATTGTGAAAAATTGCAGAAATTAGGGTTTTTGTAAAAAAAAAGAAAAATGGAACTTGTTTGGGGATTAACTGGTTTTTAAGAAAATTTTGTGATGATGACTGACTGAAATTCGAGATTCGTGCAAAGTCGTGGCTTTTGATTAGTTAAAAGGTGATTGATTGTGAAAAATTTACAGAAATTGTGTTGTTTTTGTAAGAAAAACTGAAACTTGTTTGGGGATTAGTTGGTTTTCTTTCTCCTTTGACCTGTATTTTTGCATGTTTCAGGTAGTTTTGCTGAGACGGAGCATGGGGAGGTGACTTTTCCGGAGATAAGCACAGCTATTCTGGAGAAGATTTGTCAGTACTTTTACTGGTCTCTTCAATATGCCAGGTTTATCGTCTGCCTCTTATTGTCTGTGTGTTTACTTTTAAGAAATATCCAAGAATTGAAGTCTGGTGTTCAATTGTTAGCATTGACACCATTTTTTTCATGTGCTCTGATAATCATGGCTATAATTAGCTTACCGCGTAACTAAAAATATTACTAAGTAATCATTGCAAATAAATAGTCTTTGCGGCTGTCAATCAAGATAACAAAAACTAAGCACCAAACATTAATTTAGATTTATCTCTATTTCATATATTCCCTGTTTCTTTTTGTCTATTAGTGCTATCTACAACCGTCTTTTATCCTCTCCAGCAATTACTTAGTAAAGATATGATTACTGGCCTAGGGCAGAAGAACATGGATTTGCTCCTTTTAACCGATTGAGAAATAAACCCTGTCAAATGGGTGGTGAATTGGATTATGAGCTTCCCATGCCATAAACTCAGTTGCGTGATCATCTGCAATGTCATGCTCGTATCAACTTACTCAATCAAAATGAGATTATTGGCGTACCAAACTTCTAACTGCAATCCTATTTTTATTATGCAGACTATTGCAAAATATACCACCTTTTGCTAATTCCTTTATAAAATATGTCATTCGGTTATACTTCTATTTATATTGATAACATGAAATGACTTGACTGGAAATGCATAAAAAGCCTCTTGTGCGACTTGCACGCTGACCCACTGGACAACTTCCATTGAAGAGCTAAATAACTTAAAAGGAAGACTTCTCCTATTCAAAATGTTGCTTAAAGAAAACATAAAACATATTAAACATATGAAGATATATCATTCTGATGTGAGCCTACTCAAATAACCTGAGATGTAAATTCTAAACATCATCGAAATAATTCATTTAATATCTAGAAAAAGGATGCCCACAAGTGTCTTTTCGAACCTCAATTAACTTTTGAGCACTTCTGAAGTGGGATCTATGCGTCATATTATGAAATCAATTTTCATTTTTCAATCATGAACTGTAGTGAAGTAAGCCAATTCTTTTGTCAACCTAGATTAGGACAATGGTTAGATTGACAAGTGGTACAAGTGGTGGAACTGTAATTTCTCGTTTTTTCTGGATTTGTGGTTCGAATGTTCGAGAAACACTGATGGCAGTTTCCATTTGGGATTTGTACTTTGTAGTGGCAAGGAAACTGAGTTCCACATTGAACCAGAGCTGACTTTGGAACTCATGATGGCGGCTAATTATCTGCATACATAAAAAGACTTCAAACATTTTCTGCTAACGTTCGTGTCCAACTTAAACTTTGCAAGTGCTTTTCTGCCATCTCTAACCATCATCTTCCGTCTTATTATTCTATTTAATTTGAGCTCTCTTTTTTTTCCCTAATATGTTTTATTTTTCATGTTAAGGAGGAAAATGCAGAAAAGGTCATCGTGCTGGTATTTCATGTTCTTTTAGCATTCCCTTTCTGTTCTATTGTTTTAACGTATCTATTTAGAAAGTAAATCATGTTCTCTGGAAATAGTAATTATTCTGACATTATCTACATACTCCCTCTGTGTCTGAATAATCGTTGGTAGTTTAAAATCTTGGAGTATGGGTAAAGTGTTGATTTTTTTTTTTTTCTTTTTTCGAAACGACCTTTTAATAATAAGTACACATATTTACAAATTAGAAAACAATCAAGAACAACCGAATCAATCAGATCTAGCGGGAAGTCTACTCGAAGACAACTTAAATTCGACAACACAAACACTGGAATGGTAGGTACTTGAAAATTTTCCTTCAATCTAGTAGTTCTTGCACCATAAGTTCGTTTGACAAATATAGCAGAACAACCAATGGAAGTGTAACATCTCCTGTTCACCACTCGCTACTCTAGCGTACAAGTACTGCAATGCATGGTTGAACGTTCTTAAATAACTAAATTAATTGGTACAACAAAATGAAAGAAAAAAAATTCAAACCAAAATTTAATATCGTTGTCAAATAGATATAAAAAAAATAGTGAGAGATATGAAATTAAATATATATATATTTTAACTTTAAAAAAATAAAAATTATCATTTCTATTTTTAAAGTTAATTGCCTTTATATATATTTAATATATATTATTCTCTATGTTTTTCCATAGTTTTGCTTTCGATATATCAAATGGTACAACTAACATAACCATCACAATTGTTCGAAAATGATGTATTAACACATATACTAAAATAAATATTTGAGATTGGTGTTAACTTGTCAATTCAGTCATCCGCTAGTTGATAGAATTTTTGGTCACTCTAACACACTTATCTTTTCAAATGAAACTAAATGAATCTCCCTAAAAGTCACTCGTTCACCAAATGAAATTAATTGAATCTCCATAAATTTCAAATATGATACAGATACTTAGCCAATAACCAACACTTCACGTATTTNATTATTATTATTATTATTATTATTATTATTATTATTATTTACGACCTACATTATTGTTCGTAAGTCCATTCTTGCGGCAGTTGCATCTCGTCGCCATTTGGAGGGTCTTTTTCTAGCTGTGAATGCTCCTTTGATATGGTGGACTCACCTGCACATGCTTCTTTAATTAATAATAATAGATTGTTTGTCGAAGACAAAATAAGTGTCTATAGTTGCTATCATTATCATTGTTTATAAGTTATAATAACCCAAAAAAAAAAAATAAAAAAAAATGGTTCCGACATCATTTCAAGTGGATATGAGTGGGGCATGTGAACCAAATTGGTGGCAGTCATTTTCAAATTCTTAACAGAGCTTTACTTTATTTTTTTTTCTTTCTTCTTATTATTGCGTGTTTGTTTTGGTTATCTTGAAGAGAAATGTGTGTTTTAACAGAGATTTACTTAAGAATTAAGATATTTCAATTAGACTATGATCAGAAAATTGACAAGTATACTTAGAGTAAGTGGTTCATAGTCACAAATGACATATAGGGTTCTATAATAGGCTAAACGTAGAGGGTTGGTGTCACAAGAGGTACCATTTTTCTTTTTAAAAGTTTCTGTTTTTGAATTTTTTCGCTTGTATATTACATATAAGTGAACGATACAAAACAAAATCCGAGATTTGCTAAAATTACAAAAATACGCTTGAGGTTTGTTTTAGAGTAAAAATTAGGGGGAGAACAATAATATTTTGACAAAAATGAGTGGTAGTTTTGAAATACTGTTTGCTTAGGAAGAGCCTTAATTAATATGAGACAAAATAGTGCCTAAGGGGATCTCAACATAAAATTGATTGTCAAATCAACTGTATTCTTTCCTAAATCCTAATTAGGGAAACCATGATTATAACATTTTTATTCATACTATGTATTTATGACTGAATCGAACCTCAAACAAATTGCAAACAAATTTTTTAGTGATATATATGAACCTTCTTTGTGTTATCTTTTGTTGTTAGATAGATAAAATCGTTAGACAGTCACAACTCACATACTATCAACCTTAAACTAGTTTAATATTCAAATTACCAATGGTATGAGAGATGGACCCGCACAATGGTTAGGAAAGTCATACAAGAATTTGGGTTTCAATAATAATAGTCAGCTAAGTGATTGAAAATCGCATTTAAGGTTGGGACCCATTTGGGTGGTGAAGAAAGATTCAAGATTCAAGATTCAAAAAAGGGAATATCTTTATGAGAGAGAGCAAAAGGGATAAGGTACCTAATTTGGGCCAAGAGTGAACGTGAGGCCCACCATCATGCAATGGTAGGGATGTTATAGATTGATGACGTTGCTTGAAATGGAGCTCCAACGTCTGTAGCACTCTTGTCGGCATCAGGACAATCGAACAGCCTGTACAAAAATCATGAATATATATGAAATATATAATTACATTTTATTTTTCACACTTATGAATATTTATTCATTTTATTCCGAAAAGCAGGAAAAAAGGGGACGATAAAAAGAAACTACTGATGGAGGCTCTTTAATTCAAATGAACCTATTATGAAAGTTTGACTTTTTTAGGCTTTTGACATAGATCATAAGATATATATTTGGCTGTAAAAAAAAGTATGTATATGTTCGATTTTTCCAACCCAACCTCATCATCATTCATCAACATGATCAATAGTTGATGTGATGATATATTGTGCTTAGAATATTATTTTATTTCACTTTCAAAATTATCAACAAACAAAACAACTATGCAATTATTATTCATTTAAAATAGTAAAATGAATGACTCGTTCACCCAGAATATCTCTAATGAGAATGAGACTCTCTGAATTTTGAAATTATCTTTTGTTTATTTTTTTTAGCTATATAGTCTACTTTGTTACCTCTTATACTAGATTGTTATCTACATTATCAGGATATAGTAAAAAACATAACTTTTTTATAAAGTACATCCGGCACAGGCTCAACCTACCTAACTATTTTTTGACAATAGCTTCTTGTATTTAACCATGGTTAAACTATGAAGAAGGGTGGTATAAAAAATTACAACTTGAGCAAATAAAAAAAGGTTTATCTCAAAGAGGAGAAGTCTGTGGGGGAACTATAGCCATGTGTGTGGTTCTCATTAGTTGCTTTCTATGTGGCTCAAGGTACTTAGAAAAATCCAACCCAAGTTAGATCCCACCATGAAGATTCCAGTTCTAACTAGTTGTTGGCTTATGCACATCCCATCGATTATAGATAACATAATGCTTGAATTGAATATGCAAAATGGAATCTGCATCACTCGAATAAAAAATATTCCAAAAATAAATAAAAGATTCCAAGTCGTTTTCATATGTTTGCCCGACCAGTACCATTCCAAATTAGATATTGATTTTGATCTGACACAATATTAGAATGGAAGTTACAATGTATTATTAATTTTCATAGATGTTGAGTGCAATGCATATCTGCAATGAGTTACTGTGCACATATTTAAAACCTTTTTTTACATTTAAATTTGATTCCTTTTTGTTTTATATGATAGTGCCATACTGCCATTTGCTTTAAAGTATCTTGTTCAAACATAGCTAGGTGCTAGGCCACGATTGCAGGCCAATAGAGGGGCCGGGCCATTGCTTTTCCACAACATAGCAAACACTTGTCTTAGCTGTTTTTAATTTTAAATATCATTGAACAATAAATTTATTTAGAAACTTACTAATTTAAATATTTAGATAATTTAAAAACATCATAAATGACAAAATTATTGACGATATAATGACTAATATATCATAGTTTATATAAAGAAAAATATTAATTATTTTGTCAACCGGTTTTTATACCGGTTCCACTAGTTCCTCAATGGTTAAGGGTGTTTTAAGCATTTAGGCAACCCTAAAGTCGTATCCTAGTACTTCTAAAGTGGTTTCCTTTTATATATTATTTTTCATTTGAAGGATATAGTTCTACTTTTCTTTGTAGAGTAGATAGAATTTTTCAAAAGAAAAAGGAAATTCATGAATATACCTAATTATTCATTGCATAAAATTGGAGACCTTATTTATAATAACCCACACCTTAGCTATGAGCCAGGTGTGCGAAATTGAAACGGAACCAATCCGAATAGTTATGTGCAGTGTGGTTCTATTTATTTTATTGTTCAATCGGTTTGGTTCTCAAAAACCTTGGTTCAGAGAGGTGTGTTGCACTGAATAAACCAACACCTCACTTAACCCAATTTCACCGAAATTATGTGTACGTATATTTTTTTATTTCTAATTAGCAAATAAGTTGCCATGAGTAGAGATGACAACGGGCCACGCGACCTAAGCCCGGTCAGACCCATGGTCAATGGGTTCGGGCCCAATCAGGGTCGACCATTTTGAGGATTTTACTCGTCGGGTTGGGCTGGGAAAAATGGGCTTGATTGTTTACAAGTTAATTTACTCACATTTATTTATACTCAAAATCTAACTCAACTCCACTATCTTTAATATTATTCATATAATTAGATAATACAAAACAATCATTCTTACACATCACATTAACTTTAATTCACTATTCATCCACTCACATAATTTTAACTACCTACCATTTCCAATCATTTATCTCATACTCTTATATAAATTAATTTTAATCATATTATTTTAATACATTCTTAAAATTCCACTAACTAACCATACAACCTTTTTCCAAAATTAATTATGGTTAACCAAAATAATTCATTTTGAACAAATTATTTGATAAACAATCAAGCCTTTTTTGGGTTTTCAAATTTTTATTTTTTCAGGATGGGCCCGGGGACTGAGTCGGGGCCAACCTGTCCCTCTGCATCGTGGTAAGGGCCGGTTTAGGGTCTCTTTTTCGAGCCCCAAGACCCATCGGGCAGGGCTGGGTCCGGTCCGAGAAGTGGCCATGTCTAGCCATGAGCGTTACTCTCAATTATGAAGTTGAAGTGAGATTTTTTATTCCAATTTTGTATTACACATCAGTATTATTCCGTAGCATACATGACAGACACGTGTCACTCATCTAACACAATAAAATTCGAGATGAAATATATCGCTCAACTCTCCATAAATCTCTCTCAAACCTCACAAAACCGAACCGAAATGCTTAGTTCGGTTTTATTAGATGGATCAGTGCGGCTCGGTTACGAATTCTAATCAATTTCGGTTTTCTGTTTTCGGTTTTGCTCACTTAAGTACTTATTAGTTGTTTTCTAATTAGAGATAATTAATGTTGGTCAAAGTAACAATCTATATATACTCCCTCCGTTTTGCAATACATGTCGTTTTAGTGTGTCTTTATATTTGCTTATTAATTGTCGTTTTAGATAATCTTGAACTAATTAATTTTATAAAAAATAAATCAACTCCTAAAAATGTGTAGGTTAGTTTTTCTTTTCTTTTTTTCTTATTTCTTTTACGTATCTTTATCTAATACTCTCCTAATTCATTCTAACAATAAGGAGAGAGAAATTATTAAAAAATTATTTAAATAAGATTTAGGAGATTTAGATAACTAATTTCATTGATTCCGTAATTTATTCTTTCAAACTAGAATGACAAATAAAATAAAACAGAGGGAGTATATAATAAGAATTACCATTTGCTAAAAATAGTAGCAAAAAAATAGGTCAGAATTTAATACAGCCTATAAATAGTAACTTTCTTTATTTATTTTTATTTTTTTCTTTAATAATCAAATAACATTAAATGCTACTTTAAATTTCGGGCGTTAGTTCATTTTATTATTTAAAAAATTCGGCTACGATTTATTAAGTGTGTATGTTTTTATTTTTATTTTTTTCTTAAGAACAACGAACAACATTTAAACCTCGGTCTCTATATTTATAAAATTTCAATTCAAAATATAACAAAAGATTTAGAATCTCGGTCTTTATGTTTGTGCCTTTTAAAAAAAATATTGAACGCTAAAAATATTCTTTAAATTGCATAATCAATCAATTAATCTTAATTTTTTGAAAATTACTATGTTTATTTTTTATTAATATGCATAAAGTAAAAATAATTAATTCATCTTTAGATATATAATTTATAATCTTAGTATACTATCATTTGGTGTAAACATTTATTATATGAATCAAAAAATATTTTTATTTCATAAAGTTAAAGATTTTAAAGAAAATAAGAAAATTTCTTTGGATCAATCGGGTGATTGAATTAGGTTACTGCCTAGGTTAATTAAATTACTTTTAGGTCATATTTAAAATAGTCAAAAATCTTGACACAACTTGGTTGGTCTCAGGTGACTAAGTTATGTGTCAGTTCGACCACATCAAATCGATTATTGAACATAAATATAAATTTTATATTGAAAATATTTTATTACGCGAATGTGATGTAGTCCAAACTTCAAATAATCGTATTAACAATACTTTTATGACAACATGTTTAATGATTTATGAATATTTATATATCATTTTATTAATATTTATGTGAATTAAATAATATTTTATTATAATATTTATTAATGTACAGTACATATAAGGTTTTCAGAATTGGACCATCATGGAAACGATCAAGCTATTTTATTAAATCATTTGTGGTTTGTTCAGATTTTAATTTATAAAAATTTCAACATATATATATATATATATATATATATATATAGGGGTTGGTTCAAAGAAAAACTAGTCCTGGTGTGAGAACCGTGAGAACCATTTTTGATGCTATTTTTAATTGTGCATGATGCTATTTTTCATAGTAGATGATGCTATCATTCTTACAAGTGCTACCAGAAATTGTGTTGCTATTTTTAATAAAATTCATCCTAATTAAAAATAGCATCAAACACAATCAATCATAGCACTACGCCCAAATAAAAATAGCGGTTCTCACGGTTCTCACACTAAGACTTGGTTCTCATTTGAACCACATCCTATATATATATATATATGTAGTACTTTTGTTAATAGATTTAAATAAAATGTGTTACTTAGATATCTAAACAGTTTATAAATTCAAATGTTTAAACTAATTGATAAATAATTTATAAATCTCTATTTTATTTAAATATGTAATTTTATTTAAAAAAATTTAAACATAATAAAATTTATTTAGAAAATCTTATCGATCCTGTCAATCCAACTGACTGGTGTTGACGGATTCGAGAGCAAATATTTTATTCAAGCCAACTAGACTGGTTATAAGCCGGTTCTCAGTCCATCCAGTATGACTGTGTCCAACCCGGTTTAATTTAAAAATAAAGGATAAATCATGATTAATGTTATTTATGTATTTAATCTATAATACAATCGTAATATTCCGTGCATCGCCCTAGTTTCAATATTAAGAGATGAGTAAAACACATACCCGACTTTTTTCTCGGCTCGGCAGGGTCGGTGTTCAACCGGGGCAGGAAAACTCCGGTTCCTGGCTGGACGTTAACGGATCCGGATCTACCCAGAAAAACAGCCTGCATACCCGACCCGTTTCTCCCCTTGTACCGCGTTTGCCTGTGATGGTGCCGTTGTGTTTTCGGCTGAGTTGTCTCTGTCCTTTTGACTCGCCTGCCCCCAACAAATTGGTCCTCTTTCCTTGGAACTTGATTTTTCAGCTCAACAACCTACCAAATGAATTTATTCCATTATTATTAATTTTTTAATAATAATAATAATAATAATAAAAACTTCACTTTATTAAACGTCCGTTTTAATTAATTACATGGATTGGGGGAAATCGCTCATCGAGTCCGGCCCGGCCCGAATCGGTTCCATTTTTGCGGCCGTCAATGGCGCCGCCGCTGGTATCCAGGCGAATCGACCCGTTTTTCTTCTCGGAGCAGCCACCGGACTTCAATAATATCAGCAAGCAAAAGTAAAATTAGCAAAGAGGTAACAAATAATCTCTGCAAATTAACTGGCGAACGAGTGAGGAGAGTTTTGATGTTCGAAGTTTATACTTACGCTCGGGTCTGATTTTTTTTCATTTTCTTCTTTTTCGTCTTCATCCTGGAGCATGCGCTCGGCCATCTGCCGACTCAACTCGGCGATGAAATCGCCGTCCTCGCTTTCGAAATCGGAGTACAGCGGCGTGCTGAAGCCGGACGAGTACGAGCCGCACGGCGAGGACAGCTGGCTCGACGAGCTCGATCCTTCCGTATTTGGTATAGCTAAACTCTCAGCCTCTTTTTCCGCCGACCGCTTGAATAAATCGGCGTAGAGCAGAGGTTTTTTCCGGTGATGACAGTCGAAAGCCATTAGCGTTTTCTAGCAAATTGTAACGGAGAAAATATTAGGAATATGATTTTCAATTTTTTTTGCGGAATATTCGTGTTTTTTTGCCGTATTTGAGCTTTTATGCTATTTGTGGGGAAGTGAGAGTAGAAAACCAAAAAAAAAAATGGTATGATTGGTAGTCGGCGGGTGGTTAGACATTTTTGAAATGACGAAATGTAAAGAGAACACGTATTATGATTCTATCACTTTAAAATATAGCCATTTGCAAGTATTTTGGTTTTCTGAAACTCTCTCACCAAGAAAATCTTATTTGAAATGGTAAATTGGTAATGTTATTGTCAGCGTGTTCTCTCATATTAATTGTGTACATAAATTACTGTGTTACGATACTATAACAACGTTTATATTCATTTCATAGGGTTGAAAGGTACGTATAATAATTAATATTTAATTGTTCGCACTCATATGTTTACAATATATATATATATGTATATCTTTTTGATAATGAATATAGAAGTTTATTTTGTATTTCAAAAGTATGATGAGATTGCAGGACTCATAGTACATTGAATACCTTTAAAAAACAATAAAAATTGAAGGGTTCTATTTTGTCAAATAAGGCAAACTACAGTATTTTTTAAGATGCAAATTTGATGATTCTTTTACAAACTTTTTTGTAAAGATTTTTTACTTTTTTTTTTTTCCTTTTCCGGTTCATAACTTTACTTCTATTAATTATGTTTATTTAGTAACTTTTAAATTATTTTTAATTTAAAATTTTGTTTTAGGTGTCTATTTCTATATATAATATGTTTCTCTATGATTATTTTTTCGTAAGAACTTATATAGTTATATTATCAAGGCTTTTTATTTTTTATTTTTTTATTTTTTTGGGTTTCTTTGTAGTTGGGTTTTGGTGGTTGGACCATAAGGCAAGCAAAAAAGCCTAATCAACCGCCTATCCGTTGAAAAAATTGGTTTAGCACTTTTTATAGTTAGTCTATTTACCTAACATTGCTAAAGATGATCGCCTAAGGGTTTGCTCGCATTTTCAATAGCAAGGTTGACCTGACAAACAATGGCCACCATTATTAAGTCACGTTTTTACTAAAATAATCATCTGTTATTTTTTATACTAAAAAGTAAACCTTATGATATGAGCACCACTAATTATAACTAAGAAAACACCTAAAATTTTGAGAGTGATCTGATAGATCGTCATACGTTGCCGTGTATTTAGGCGATTGGAATCAATACTTGCATTATGAGGTTTGAAAGAAATTTTGGTCAAATTATTTGCGTAGGTTTTATATATTGGTATTTGGTAATCTATGTTCTACAAAGACAAAATAAATAAATAAAATTACTCAGAAAAAATGCTCTTTATATTTCACAAAATCTATGTTCAATGTTTAGTTGTATGGAAAATCATCTACGTTCATCGCTCAAATGTATCTGATGCAGGATAATATTTATTATTTTTGGTATTAGAATATTTGGTAGTTTAAATAGTATCTATTATTATTATTATTATTATTATTATTATTATTATTATTATTATTATTATTATTATTATTATTATTAACATTTAATATTTATTTATTATTTATGTTTAGTCTTGGTGAACAAGTTAATATTAGGGTTTAGGAGCCTTATATAAAAGACACCCCCTCTTTTGTTATATTTGGTTGATTATTCAATGAAAATAAGATTGTGAGTTTTATTGAGAGAGTATCTCGTTTACTCGTTTATCTTTCCCACTTGTACGCTTTTCTACATCAGTTGGAATCAGCAGTCAGTACGATTCGCGAACAAACAACGTGATGCAACCTTCAACGATCGGTTTTAACAGATCGACTACCGATTTGAACATTTGGACGTGCGTTTCACAGATTGGTTTGTAGATCTTTCGACGAGGATTGAGGATTTGCGTTTGACGCTTAACAATGTGGTCTGGGATTTGCAGATGAACCGTGTCGCCGGCGACCGGGGTGTGCGCGGGGGAGTTGACGGAGGAAATGGAGGTTGTGTTCCAGGCGGGGCGCCCCGTCGGCGATATCCACAACCACCGCCCGGCGATGCAGATGGCAAGGAGACCATCTCGGAGGTGGATCCCTTCGGAGAGTGGCCGCCTCCGCCCGTCGAGACTAAGCTCGTTGCTACGCACAACGACCAAGATGTGCGGCAACAGACGGTCCGCTAATTTTCGATGAGGAGCCTCCGGGGTCGGAGGAATTCCTCATGGAGCCTCTGACTGATGTGGACATTACGAACATGGAGAAATTGAGTATCCGAGCATATGCGACGCCATGCAAGTCATCTTGACAACCTGCGATAATCGTGTCGTGGCCTCACAGGTATTTGACTACGTTCGACAATTTGCGAAGTTAGGAATTGCAACGGTTCTTGTGGTTTCTTCCGAGAGATCGTTTGTTTCGGGCCTCGTTAGCCCCGTCGAGATTGATGTCGAGTTTCACGATGTTGTTGTCCTTGAATACGTGAAGAAGGTTCTGGAAACAGTGGTAGTTTATCTGTTGCGCAGCCCCGAGTTTTTCTCCCACAAGCGTTTGTTGCGACCTTGCAAACAGATGCAACATTCAATGTTCGTGTTTGACAGGGGGAAACACCGGGTGATTGCTGCCATGGGTACGACTCCTCACGCTGGCAACAAGATCGAATTGGATTCAACCGGAGGAGAATGATGCAGGATAATATTTATTATTTTTGGTATTAGAATATTTGGTAGTTTAATTATTATTATTATTATTATTATTATTATTATTATTATTATTTAATATTTATTTATTATTTATATTTAGTCTTGGTGAACAAGTTACTGTTAGGGTTTAAGAGCCTTATATAAAGGACTCCCCCTCTTTTGTTATATTTAGTTGAATAAGATTAGATATTGCGAATCTTGCGTGTTTTACGAAAGAGTCTCTCATTTACTCGTTTATCTTTCCCACCCGTACGCTTTCCTACATCAGTATCTATCAGTTATCTTTGGAAATTAAAAAACATTTATATTCAAACAAATGTGATGGAGTTCCAAGCTTTGCATATTACACACATTTGAGCACCTTTGCTCAAATTCTACTATTCATATATAAACATTTGAAATGCAAAGTTGCAAACTCCAGTCAAATTTGTTCTACATTTGATGAACGGTTAATATAATTTGTTCTACATTTGATGAACGGTTAATAGAATGAATATCGTAGGTAAGCCACCTGAGAAATTCAACAACCTACAATTGCAAATTTGCAATTGCAACATATAGGACTTTGAGTGTATATACACAGTCAGAATCATGAAGTTGTCTCTTGGAAAAATAAAGAAAGAAAAAGAAAATAATACAGAACACTTGAGAAAACCGAGCACCATTCCTTCCAAATTACAGTCTTTTGGAACTTCTACCTCTAAGACATTACACTAAACAAAATATGTCCTCAGTCCTTCAGATCCAATAGCACTGTAGTAAAATGTTAACCTCTCTTTTGAGATCGGCTGAGTTTCAAAATCCACTCCAAATGACATCTGAAGATTAACAACCAAAATTAAGAGGGACAAATAGCAACACGTTAAGGGCACACAATTCACAACTCAGCCACATATACTGAACAAAACCAACCAAAAAGACTGCAAATGTAATGTTTGTGTACATATATACACATAAATTGACCAGCCTATGATAATGTTGTTTTGTGATAATTGACATATTATGTGTCATTTTTGGTCCTAAACTCAGGAACCAACTCAACCTTCATCTCACCTCAATAACAATGTTATACATGACTCGTTATGTCAACCAGAAGTAAAGAAGTACAAATGACAGCACAGTATGCATTTAACAGTAGAAAACAAACAATGCTCCAGTGAAAAAAAAAAAAAAAAACTGTGTACAAACAGAACTCAAGAACTATCTGGGTTAATTTCCTCTACTACAGAAGCCTACAAGATAAATCAGCATAGTGAGAGCCTGTGATACAGGCTAGAGCAAGACTTGGTATGGATTATGGAAGCTGAAGAGAAATGTACTCGACCAATTTTATAATGGACTTGTGAGTAAAGCTACATCACTAGAATGACATCATCCAGAAGCGTTTGTCATAGTTTGGACTCTTCTTCTTGTACTTCTACAGTACGGTATTAAACGCATTTTTTACCAAAAATTTTAGCCACTCTGAACACCATGTGCTAGAAAGCCCTTCAATAAAATTGCTTATTAATAAGAGTGAAATCAAGCATCTTATCTACTTCAAGACTCAAATACTCGACTAGTATAATCCTTATCACTTAAATTGAAGTATTTCCTCTTTTCTTTCCCTCACAGGAAATCATAGTCGGAATTTGCCTTCTAATTTGATTTTAAGCTTGACGTTTGGTAGGCAGCAAAATCAAATAGGTATAGACCGCAAGTACTGAATAAATCATTAAGGATTGGACAGTGTCCTATCAATAACATGACCCATATCAGCCTTTTTTAAAAATCTAGACAACATTATACACAAGGTTATCAAATTTCTGCCAAGCCGCCATTACAAATTTGTAAAGGATGGCGGTTATGGCATCGCCTCAGGCCACACAGACGCCATTTTCCATAATCCGCCATTGATAACACTGCCTATATGCCTTCACGGAACATTTGCAAAATTAAAGAGTTGCTGACCAAGAATTGCATAAAGATTGATAATACTATTATAATTTAGAGCTTGCCCTCAAAGAGCCAAAGGTTAACTGCAAGATATCTATATCTCTCATTTCAGCCAACTTTATGGAAACTGACTTGCTATTTTTCATCTTTTTATGGAATGTTTATACTAGTGTGCTTGTGTATAGGGTAGTTAGCAGAATAGCAAGAATACATACTGCATAAAATATCATAAGCTTCAGACTGCAGACAAAAAAACAAACTCACCCATGAATTACAGTTAACTGAGACCTATGTAGTCAATCTTGCCTCACAAGAACCGCTTTCTATCAGTTGGTTTCAAGATCTGGAACGAACACATCAAACTCTCATCGACACTCATCATTGCACCAGCATTATCAAATTCGCCACAATAGTTGGGAGCAGAAAAAATTGTAACAAGCTGCCTGTCAGCGAAAAATTCATATCCATCTTCTACTACCTGCTCAAGAATGTATTCAGTAAAACTCCAGAAATTGCAGAAAAAAGGATGCAAAGCAAGGAGAAAGCCAAATACCTGGTGAGCACGACAAACAAGGTCCATATCGTGCTGCATTAAAAATTCTGCCACCTTATCCGGACCAAATGTGTAAGAGACACCTCTATCATTCATTCCCCAACCTTTGATTTCTCTATTGGGATCAGACCAAAGTAAATCACAGAGAAGGCCAGAGTCCGGAACATCAGTTGGACGAGGTAAGTTTCTTATTTGGTCCAAGTGTGACAAGTCAGGAGAGAGACCACCATGCATGCATAGAATCTTATCATCTATAAGAGCGGCCACAGGAAGACAGTTAAAACAATCAGTAAAAATTTTCCAGATCCTAACATTGAATCGGCGTTTACATTCATCATAGAACCCATATATCCTATTGATTGAAGCACATTCATGATTTCCTCTTAGGAGAAAGAAATTCTCAGGATATTTGATTTTGTAGGCAAGAAGAAGGCATATCGTCTCTAAACTCTGTTTTCCACGGTCCACATAATCCCCTAAGAACAGATAATTGGCTTCTGGAGGAAATCCCCCATACTCAAATAGCCTTAATAGATCTCCATATTGCCCATGAATGTCACCTAGTAACAGCCAAGGAAACAAATAAAACAATTAATTCACTGTTAATCTTATGAAGAGCATTAAGATACAGGGAAATAAAAAGACTAAACGGGGTTGATGAGAGAGGAAGAGGGAGGGAGGGAGAGAGAGAGAGAGAGAGAGAGAGAGAGGGAGAGTTTTCACTCACTTAACTCAACAAGAAGCAAGCAAAACGGTTTTGACGGAGAGGAGGTTTCTAGTTTAGAACAGAGTGATTATCACAATTGGAAAATGAAATATAGCACATACCTTACCTCAGTAAAATAGTTAAGGACATTATCAAGAACAAACAAGAAATAAGGTGCTAGCCCAATAAAAGGAAAAACTCCAAACACATAATAGCTTTAAAGCACTTATACATAAAAAGCATCCAGATCCACCAACACAAAGATCAACTAGAAACACATATTTCATTGTCGGAAAGAACTAAAAGTATTGCAATTCACTACAATCAATATCAAGTATTCTCAAAGCAACTTATTTCATGCATTAACAGTTGGGTATGAGTCACGTATAGAACCAAAAACTGAATAAGATATATTTGCAATATTCAACGCATTTGCTCAAAAGCACCAATGGCCGAGTACTCCTGACAATAAGTTATCTGAAACAAACAGAAAACGAAATTTGGAAATAGACTAAAAAATCCAAAATTATTCTTTTAAAAAAACGTATTGTAGTGTACTGATAACATGCCCAAAAGAATATATTGCAAACATGTCAAAACTGATATTGAGGATTAACCTACAAACTCATATTTTAATAACAGATGAGAACATAAAGCATATTAGAAACCGTTCTAAAAACCAACAAGATACAGAAGTCCCAAAGCATGCTCTAATCACATTCACTATATGATTTTGAGACAAAATCTTAGTATCCACTTAGTGGGATCAGCAAAACAATCTAGGATATGCACATTGTCTAATATCCATAAATTCTCCTCGTGTTAGAGAGCAAGAAAAGGTGGGAGGGAAGAGTAACACAGATTTGAAAAAAGAGGAAGAGAAATCGCTAAGCACAGTCCCGTTTCCACTTCAAAAATCGAAAATCTCAATAACAATAGAATGCAGCATACCGAAATTCCATACACACTCTTACTATCAAAAACCCTGTTGGCAATTACATTTCTATAAAAGAAGACATCTTCAACCCCAAGCTCATACACCTAAACTATAAACCAAAACCACCCAGCCATCATATGTTCAAGCAGAAACAAAAGAAAACCATAACCCAACAATTACCAATTGCCAGCATTACGACCAAACCCAAAGTTTCATTCATATTCAAACATAACATACTCAAGACCAAACAAAAAAGGTAAATTTCGACCCTAGTATCATAACTGCCCATAAATTTCAAGTTCCTGGATAAAATAACGAAATGCCGTCAAAAGCTCAAAACATCAAGCAACTCGTCGCAAAGTGAACAAATGTTTCAACAGTAACAATTACCGCAGATCTTGATAGGGGCTTCGAGTTCAAGGAGATTAGGCTGTGAGAGGAAGATTTCACGCGACGTCGTACAGAGAGCGCGGATCTCATTCTCCGACAGCTGCACCTGACGCACGGTCCGCGCATTGCGGAACTCCAAAAGCCGGTTGATGATGTCATCCAACAAGGCAGGCTCTATCCCCTGCCCATTCGCCGCCATAGCCCGCTCCCCTGTGGTTTCCTTCTTCTGATTTCGAAAGCAAGGGCTATTGAAGTTCAACACCGCATACCAAACCCTAGATTCCCAATAAAAGACAGAAAATAAAATCCCAACATGCATTAAAATAAAAATAAACAATTAAAGTACATGATTGGTATGAAGGAATGACATGCGAATAGAATGATCATTCTCTTCCTCATTCCTAATCCCATGATTGGTATATTTTTTGGGAAGGAATAATCATTCCCATTGGAATGGCAAAACTCATTTTCATGGGATTAGCCATTCCATAATAAATAGAAGGTTTTCTCATTCCCACGTGTGTAGGAATCAATTTTTCAAAAAGTAAAATTAATAAATAATAATAATAAATAAATATATAATATATAATATAAATCATGATTAAAATTTATTAAATAAAATTATTTTATAAAAAATTCAAATAAAAAAATTAAAATTTACTTTTATTTATTTTTTAATTAGATATATTAAATACTTATATAAAAATAAAACTAAAAAAGCATTTATATATAATTTTAAAATATATTATTTTATTTTTATATATTATTAAAAATATATTATTTTTATATTATCAAACAATATATTATTCTACTTTTATATATTATTCAAAATATATTATTAAAAGTAGTTTATTTTATTTTTATATATTATTAAAAAAGCATTTATAATTTAATAAAAGTATATTATTTTTTAAAAAAAACTTTTATTTATTTTTATAATAAAAAATAATAACGTCATTCCATTCCACCCCTATTTATTCTGCATACCAAACGCATCAATGACAAAACATGTTTCATTCCATTCCCATAATCATTCCATTCTTCAATTCATTCCATTCCTACCAAATTTCATTCCATCATACCAATCATGCCATAAGTGCATTTTAGCTGCACTCATTAAAATTTAAAATATAAAATATTTTATGTAAGTTTTTATTTATATTTCTACTTGATAAAGTTGGAACATCGAACTTGCTTATTGACTCGTTTAATTAACAAGTCAAGTTTGGCTCGGTTATATAGAGCCTCGAATCTAAGCTTGAGTATTAGGAGCTCGAGCTCAATTTAAATCGTCTGCGCATCAATAACAAGCCTATAAGAACAAAAGAATGAGCTAATAATTGGTTTAATACATAAAAACATATGATGTAGGTGTGAGGAAGTCGAACTTTTGTATGTCGAGGATTGCTCGAAGGGTGTTCGTCGGCACCACTTCAAAACAACGTAATTTTTGCATCTGAGCTCGAAACCACTATTATAATATATTTCTAAAAGTGGAACGATGCCTTTTGAATTAACTCATTGCGCCTAACATGATATACTTGTTGTAAATATTAATTTGTGGACATTATCTAGATATAGGTTTTGTAGGTATGGGTCATGAGCCCATTAGGTCTATAGTCATGTACATTGTATTCTCTTATATATAGGGCTCAAGTGAATGAATAAGATGATGGTTTAACGGCATATCTCTTCTCTCTTATTATCTTCTACTGCTTTTTCTCTTTGTCTATCTATCTTACACATCGATCTTACATAATGACAATCTATACATATATATATAATAAGAATTACTATTTACCAAAAATAGTAAGCAAAAAATCTGGCAACATTAATTACATACCATTTCGGGCAAGTTTTGTTTTTATTTTTTATTTATTAAATGAGAAATATTTAAATATGCCTTCAATCACGGATACTTAGTTTTGATAACCAAATTGCTCAATTTGGTACAAATAATGCTTTTAAAAATTTGAGTTTTATTTCAATACCAATCCTTTTTAAAATTAATTGATATCAACATTCATTAATCTATACATATTGAAAGTGGTTGATGGAAAATTCATTTGTGGACAGTTTAATTAATTTTTTGGTCAAATTTGTTGACTTACCACTTAAGGAAAATATGTCCATATTTTTGTAAATCGATTTACTAAAGCCTTTTTAATTATTTTTGATAGATTTGTTTTGTTTAATATGTACTCAACTACATTTTATATTTTACATGTGAGATATTTAGAGCTATTTTATAAAGGTAACTGCTCTATTTAATCAAATATCCATTAACACTTTTTTTTCTCAACCCAACTTCAGAACTCCATTTTAATTATATTGAAAATATTTTTGTATTTTATTTTAGTTAATATGGAATCAAATGCATTCCATCTTTTAATATTTAGATCAATTTTAAAAAGATATCATCATATTTTACATATTGGATCTATA